TGCCTTTTCCCTTTTTGTTCGATTTTGTATTATTTGATTTTGGTTTATTTTGGTAAGATTGGTTGAACGAATGAACAGAGACTTACAGTGGCATGGATTAGAAAGACCAAACTGGAGATTTTGGGATGAAATGCACTGTAGCATCTCGCATGATTGTCTGCGTAGTGACTTCATTTACCGATGTCGCGGCTGGTACTCATGCTCGTGTAGGTGGGACGAAGAACCATGACGGCAACCTGGCAGCCTAAACACATTTCCATGGTCCAAACTGTAACCTTTTGGCAAATTTGGATGGTGTACAATGCAAAATTTAGCTAGCAAATCCTGGTCCAATATGCAATCACGATAAGAAAAATGGGTGCAAAGTGGAATTCACTAAAAAAAATAAAAACTAATTAGTGAACTACACTTATTATATTCAAGATGGAACTATACTTATTATATTCTTAAAAAAAAATAGGAACTTACATGTTAAACGTAACAGTATTATGCAAGTCCTTCAACTCAAAATATATTTTTGGGTCCCCAAATTTATCATGAGTGTTGTATAGATTGAAGGGTTAATTATATTCACATCATTATAAATTTGCTGATTCGAAAAAGTACCACTACTATACTATTCTTGAAATATATTGCGTGCCACTGAAATTATCTAAAACTTAAACCATGCCACCGTCACGTTTACGGTTAGCATCCTCTTTCTATCATCGGTGGGCCCACTTCTCAGGCCATCTTCAACCTCCGGCTGTTACTTCGAGTTTAGCCGTGGTCGAGAAAGGGGTTCCATCTCCCTCTAGTTTGTGTTCATGAATTCGCCGAAGCACCATCTCAATGGATTCTAGTTTCTGCTCATGAATTGCTCAAAGCCTTAGCCATAGCAAAGATCAGATCCAAGCACATGGACAAAAAAAATCCATCCAAATATCCATGAAAAGCTAAATCCAAGACATGGACTAAAATAAATCCATCAGGTACAAGGCCAATCACAACACTGGACCACAGTTTGCCACATCTTCCTGAATGCGGCGGAGCAAGGAGAAGCCCCCATGGTTTGCCACATTGGAGCCGGAAAGGAACAACGGTGAGATGCCCCTGTATCTTCTGATTGAAAGGGGATTTATGAGGGGATTGGAGAGGGAGTTGGGAGGAGTAATTCCCCTCAATCAATTGGGAACAAGGATGGCTGAGTGAAGCGAATTGGAGGCCAAGCTGCGCTAGGGTTCTCACTGAGGAGAGAGGATGCAGCAGCTGGAGGTTGAAGATGATCTGATGAGTGGGCCCAGCAACAGACGGAAGAGGATGTTAAAAGAAAACGTGCCAGCGATGGCATAGTTCAAAATTTAGAAAATTTTACTGGCACGCAATAGATTTCATAAATAACAATGGTATTTTTTTAAATCGATATATTTATAATGGCATGGATCCAATTAACCCTGATTTAAATGTTAGTGGGGCCGACATGTCAGTCACATGAAAAAATAAAATAAACATAATCTTTATCTCCTCTTAAACGGAGAGGAGAAAAGATAAAATTGAAAGAAATATTTTTAGAAATTTCAAGGTATAATAGAAAAAAAAATTTAAATTTTTTTCAATAATGTGACTAACATGTTAGTCCCACTGATACATAGGCACCACTGTGGCATGTCATGTTAGCTCATATGAAATGTTGAGGATCCGAAAATGTATTTTAAGAGTTGAGGGGCTTAGATGACACACCCTCGTAAATTTAAGGACAATTTTTGTACTTCATGACAGGATGTTGAAACATTGTGAAACGGAGGGAATAATTAATAAGCTACTGATAAACAACTTACAAAGTTATAAGCGTAAAGAAAGGACAACATAAAATTGGCTTAATAAGAGAGTTGCATCAGCAAGTTACTTAAGCCAATAATGATTGTCTAATAAACTGACCGCGGCGATGTGATTGCGCTACAAGAATTGGCGCGGCGGCCACGTAAGTACGAGATGTGAGTCCGTCCTACAGCTATGCCCCACTTGTCAGGGCACGTCTACGTACGTACGAACAAAAAGCAGAGAAGAGGGATCGATGGGAGAGGCTTCTTGCCCGCGACGAAATCTGGCGCCATCTGGGCCGTCCGTCCGATGCGCCCAGATGATCTGCGCCGTCCGCGGCAACCCAATCCTACGCCTATTTATATTGACCACTTCCTTTCTCTCCACCCGATATATATGATGGTTATCTCGTTTCTGCTAGCTCTGCATGTTCCAGTTGCAGTGGCTGGTAGAACCAGCTTTTGGTTGGTTTCTTTTTTCCCTTCTGGTTTTGATCTGTTCTTCTATCTATCTTGCCATTGTTTTGTGGGTTCTCCCTCCGGGTGTGCTCTTCGTGAGAGATGGAGTGGCATATGCCATCAGAGCGCTTCTGTGCTGCGTGCAGGTTGGGTGTTTCTTTGCGTGTGCGTGCGTGTGTGTTCATCTGCTAGATCTTGCTGTTTCTTTCGGAGAGTGCGTGTGTGCGGTTCTTGCTGCTCCTGGTTTACCCATTCGCCTATGAAAAGATTGAGCTCATATATATGGTGATTTGGTCACAAAAACGCTCAGATCTGAGGCACTCGGTACACGCAGGTGCGGCGTTGTTTTGATCTTGGGATTGGATGAACATTAATTTGCGTCGTTTTTGTTCGATGCAAAGCTAGCCCAGTGCGAAAAGCATCTCCCCTTGTTCTTTGGCAGGATTTTTTGCCATGTTATATACTGTATATTCTCTCATCTCTTTTCCTTCCCTGCGTGTGTGCTGCGTGATCATCTCATGTCTTGAGCGTATGTGCTGCTGCGGATGAGCTACGCGGCCAGAGTAGTGTGAGATCTTCTGGTAATTTATATTTCCAGAGAACTCGTCCCTTCTTTTTGCTTCTTTTTCCATTTCTTCGGTTCTTTGCTATCTTTCTGATCGATCGATTTCTTCACTTGGTTGCCTCTTTAGTTTGTTCTTCCGCGTTTCTTGATCTTTCGCAATATACATTCTTGAGGCCCTACATATGTGGATTGATCGGCAACTTCTCCATCCTCTTTTTTTTTTTAAAAAAAATAATGCATCTCAAGGCAGGTACCTGGCCAACCTACCAATAGGTGCAAGCCATCTGTCCAAGCCAATGGACATGCATGCATGCGACGCACTCTTACTCCAGGACTCCTGGTCAGAGACTCAGAGCCAACAAGTTTTTTTTTTTCTCTTTTTTGGCTTCTCTTGCACTGTCCTGGAGGAAAATCAGGATCAATAAAGCTGCCCTTCTTTTTCCCCCCTTTGGGCTTGGCTCTCTGTTTGTGTTCTTCTGCAGGCAAAACTGCAGTAGTAGGGCTTCTTTTGCATCCCTGGTCCCTGCTCTTCTTTTGGAGGACAGTAACTTGCAAAACATCAGCACCACATTTGCACTTCTTGCCAGGACCTATCTTGGACCAGCACAACTGTTCTGTTGATCTTGTTCTTTGGCTGCAACCTGTTCAATGCAAGCAGCTTTGTTACTTTGTTCTACATTCCTTGATTTGGTTTTATTTGGGGGGCACCAATGATTAGTTCAAAACACTAGGTTGAATAATGATGGACCAGATTGCTGTTCCTGTGTGGAATAATTAATATGTACGTTTCAGACGATTACAACCACATGTTCCTCTCGATATGAGCTGCCCTTTGAAATATATTGATAATTTTGTAAACGCAAACTCTTTTTTCTTTCTGGAGGTTGATTTCTTTTGATTTATGGAGTGTAATTTAATTGCACCCCCAATGATAAGGTTTGTGATTTCCTTTTTTTATTATATTTTTCTTTTTTTTGCCTTTTTATCTACTGCCAAAACTGCAAATACTGCAAAAGCCCCTGCAGCTTTGAATGTGGGTGCCTTGAGCGCGACGAAACAATCCGGGCCGTTGTTATCTGAGCGGAGCAATCTGCAGCGTCCACCTGTCCCTCTCTCTCTCTCTGCAACTATGCTGCTCGGTTTTTTCTTCTCTCTGATAGAAGAATGTTACTGCTGCTTACCTTTTGATCGATCAGCTCTCGTTCTGATAAGTGTGGTGTTTGTATTTTTTTTTTCATTTGACAACAAATTTCCGATGATTGTTTACGCTGTAGACACTGAAGCACATTTTGGACTGGGTTTGAAGATGTCTGAAGTTTGAATAACTGCGTAGTATTTGATTTGAAATCCGATTCAACTAATACATTGAAAATGTCCAACCCGATTTTATCTTGATTCAGAACTTTCTGATTTCTCGTTCCCAGGAGATTGCAGTTGCTTTCTTCTTTTTCCTTCTTTCTTGCCCAGGTTCTGTAACAACTGCAGTGCATCTTCAGTAATTGGCATTGCATCGATTTAATCGAGTTTTCTTCACTTTGTTCGAGCCGTAGGAAACATCCGAGTGTGCTCTTCCGCCCAGCCACAGAAATGTTTTAAAAAAAATAATCTGAATTTTAAGCTTTTTGTATTGCACCAAAATCTTTTGGATTGGCCAGTGATTAGATGAAACGTGAGTTGTGCAGACACTCCACTGAAATTAAATGAAGCGCAGTGATTAGTCTTCTGAGGCCATGGATTTAGTTTAAAATGTTCATGTTACATTTAACCGCGTTTGTGGGTAGTTTTTTTTTTTTTGCCTTCCATTATCCTCTGTTTTACCTGCAACTAGTATTTGATTTGAAATCGATTCAAATAATACATCGAACATATCCAACCCGATTTTATCTTGATTCAGAACTTTCTGATTTCTCGTTCCCAAGAGATTGCAGTTGCTTTCTGCCTCTTCCTTCTTTCTTGCCAGGTTCTGCAAGAACTGCAATGCATCTTCAGTTGTTGGCATTGCATCGATTTAATCGAGTTTTCTCCACTCTGTTCGAGGCATCTATGGAGAAAGGCAGGATATGAAACATTCGAGTGTACTCTCACAGTCACAGAAATAAAACACTGAAATTTAAGTTTTTTGTATTGCACCCAAGTGTTTTGGATTGTTCGTTAAAAGAAAAAAAAATGTTTTGGATTGGCCAGTGATGAGATGAAACGTGAGTTGTGCAGACACTCCACTGATACCAAATGAAGCGCAGGGATTAGTCCTTCTGAGGCCATGGATGGCTTCTTTGTTACTCCACTTTGAAATGTTCTTGTTACATTTAATTGTGTTTGTGGCTAGTTGTGCTTCTTTATTAGGCTTCTTTTTTGCCAATCATTATCCTCTGCTTTACCTGCTGAAAGATGAACTATTCGTGCCGATGATGAGAGAACCTCATTGAATTGACGAGCCGTCCAACCGGTCCATGGATCTCTTGAATTTCTTCACTTTGTTTGAGGCATCTCTGAAAAAGTGCAGCCTAGGAAACATTCAAGTGTTCTCTTATCAGTGACAGAAACAAAAATCTGATTTTCCAGCCTTTTGTTTTGCAAAGTCTTGGATTGGCCACCGATGAAACGTGATTTTTCATGCTCCCGACTGTTTATAACCCATTATTTTGGTTTTTGCATGCCAACGCTGCAAGGAATGTCAGGGTTAGCCTGAACAAATTTTGTTTTCTTATGATAGACCAATGTTGAGGTGCTGGCAAATTGTAAGTCATTTTAGCATTTCCCACATTTATATTGATGTTAATAAATCTAGACATATATATCTATCTAGATTCATTAATATCAATATGAATGTGGGAAAAGCTAAAATAACTTACATTGTGAAACGGACGAAGTATTATCTTGGTTTGTGGCACAATTTACTATGACTTTTCCTGTAGCTCTGTTGCTGCAGATCAAATGCAAATGTGTTGAACTTACCTCATTTGATCTGTTATCCATGCATGGTTAGTAGCTAAAGTATTTGTTTGATGGATGGACGAGGCCGATGGTAATTGATGCAAATCTTGTTCCTCTGATCTCTGCGTCCATTCTGATCTTTTGATTCTGAACTTTCACCCTATTCTTGCCAAATGTTAATTTGCTGTACTTGAGAGGTATTGCAGTTGCACAGGGTGCACTAAACTGGCTTCTCAATGAACTGTTGAGAACTCTACTTGTTTGCCCTCTAGAAGCCTTGATTTCCCCCCAATGTCTTGTGGATTAGCCAGTGATGAAACAAAGTTGTACAGAAACTCTAGGAGTGAAATGAAGTGCAACTATATCTCGGGCCTTGAATTAGCTTATATGATACTTTGCAATTATCATGTTAAAATTTGACTTGAATATATCTGGCTTTATTACTACTCTGCTCTATAGCTGTTTGTTTGATTGGCTTGGAAGCTTGTTCTTGACAGAAATATATACTTTTTTGTTTTTCTTTTATGTATATATAAAATAAAATGACTTTCTGTCATTAAAACTAAAATGCAGTTGGCCAAGTACAAATAAAATGTCAATAACAATAACATGCTGAGAAATTCCTGACCTACAATTTTGTCTGTTGAATGTGTTGTTCTTGAACCCACCAGTGTTTGGCCAATGATGCATCTATGCCTCTATCTGAGTTCCTTATTTGGTTGAGACTTTTTCTGAAAGGAAACTAACTATAGCTGAGGCCTTATATCTTTGATCTTTTAACTTCGTCACCACTTTTCTTTCTTGAAAATTACTTAGTTGGATGATGTTGACAAATCATCCCTGTGTATTCTTGTGTATGCCTGTGAAAGTATTTATCCTCACTCTGATATTGTGTCTTCTTGGTTGTAGGCGAATTTAATACTTTTAGCTGTAGAAATTAGGAAAAAATATATCTTAGTTACTAGTTTACTCAAAACTCATTTTACTCAATTAATGTATGTAATTTTATTTTTGAGCATAATACAAAGGTATCGAAAGGGACAAGCTGTTTACATAGAGAGCCAAAGAGAGTTCTCTACACCATCTAGCGAATACAGGTACCTTACAGCTTGTCTTTCTCATGTCTTGATCCTTCTATGCATTTTCGTTACTGGTTTGCTCACAACCATCCTAAAATGACATCTTAGTTATTACTGGAGATATGACATGAAAATTTTAACTCTCTGATAAGGTGCCTCTATGGCCCTGGAGCACCAAACATATTTATTTGATCAGTATGCAAATTGTCTGCATTGGAATTAAAATGAAAGAAAATAAAAGGACAATATTAAGATCTATCTAGTAATAGTTCTGGTCAATGATATGATATTTAAGTTGCCACTATGGGTAGTTACTTATTTCAATTGCTAGAGGCGTTTTGGGTTCAATTTCCCATCAATTTGTACATGTCCACTTTGTTTGAATACTCATTTTTGTATCTTTCTGAATAGAATTGAATAACCCTTGAAATGTCATTCTTTGGTTGATGCTGCATTTGAAAAATACATTTGCACTCATCACTTGTTCTGTGCCACATTTGAAAAATACATCTTGATGTCCTTTTGCATGATTTTTAGATTTTGTCTTCTACTTTTCTGCTAAACATAGAAATTTGCACTCATCACTTGTTCTGTGCCATAACCATTCTATGATGAATTGTCCTTAGCGGATTCCGATGAACCTGATGTTAATTTGGTTCTCTGAGAACATGCTATGACATGTCTGAAATAATAAAATTTCTGAGTCATGATCACTTATATCTGACTATGTAAAATGGTTTTGAGCCGATGGGTTCACAAGTCCATTTGTTCTGCATTAGTTGTCAGCAGTGCATTTAGCTTTGCAACGTAAAATTCTTGATGCTATTTAAGGCAGGGATTTACCTCTTTTTTTTTTGCTAGTTTGCATTTTATGGATCACTTGTGCTTTCTACAATCTGATTCCAGTGTTTTGTATTACATCTTGTTTCCGCTCATGGTCTGATCAGTGCAGTTATTATGTTATCAACTTCTGTTTGGCACATGCACTTCCTCTGCTTCTTCTCTCTTTTGGGATGTTGTGAATCAGAGGTTTTCCAATGTGTTGCTTTCATCGAAGATCTGTGGTTTTCACTTCTCTTAGTGGTAACCTCAGCGTGAGCTTGAGTTGCCATCATCAAGTCATTTCATTCTTTAGAATATGAAGATTTTTTGTTTGCGTTTTTTGTTCTCAACATGGTTTTTTTTTTTGGCATGTCCTATATGAGTTTGGTGTCCCAATGGTTATGACAAAATGCTAATGAACCAAGGCTGCAATGACGGTTCAAAGGATGAACTTATTTAACAAGAGAATATTGAAATCAAAACTGTTGTTTCATGTAGAATGTTTTATGTGCAGAAATGCCTTATTGTATCACTTATCTGATCATGTTTGTTATTTAAAAACTAAGACATAACACTGGATTGGTGTACTAAGACATGGAGCCTCTAATTATGATATAGCTGATCCATTTCTAAAACTTCTTGTTAAGAAAACTTATTTCCTAAATGCAAAGTTACATTGATTCCTGAGTATGTGCTTTCTCAGAAGAAATAAACAGGTGCCAATGCAACCATTTAGCACAGCAGAATTCCTGTGCAAACGTAGTCTTATATGACTCAAAAACTGAGTAAACATGGACACTTGGTTGCAGAGCATTATCTGTAACTGCATTTGTTCCTAGATACAAAGGATTTACCTGTCTTTTCTTTCTGAAGGACTGAACAACAACCACCGCAACGGTGCATCACGCGCGGCGGAATTACTCCGTGATACACAGCTCCTACTCCCACGAACACACAGAGTTACAGAACTGAGCATACCAGTGGTGATAAATCCAACTGGGCAGTGTTCTCCTGTATCGCAACCATCAACCGAGAACAAAGAAGCTAAATTATTCCTATCTATAAATAACTGGCCATGACTGACATCTATTTCTTGTAATTAAGAAAACTTGTACTCCTATTTTTTTCAAAACTCTGAAAGCTTCTATTTCTTCCTGATTAATGCGCATGTGCTTTCTAGTTTCTACTAAGAATCGAAGTACAAATGCAACTGTGCAGCAAAAACCAGAATGTCGCTGAAACTGTAAGCAACATGGACATTGAGTAGCAGAGGCGGTGGCCGGAGTTGAGGGCGAAGAGGCAGCGTCGGCGGTGGTGACTACGATCCAAGGGGGGATTGGCCGGCGAGACTTGATGGGGATGGCTCCGCCGTTGGGGAGGAGCCTCACCGTCACCGGGAGCGGCATGTGAGGTCGGAGACGGCGGCGCGCGATAGGACTCGGCGCGTCCGACAGACCGACCGGCGGCGACTCGCTAGAGAACAAGGCGGACAGAATGTACGAGCCCAGATTTTTTGTTACGGCCCATGGACAGAAATTTTTGTCAGTTTTGGTTTATTTCTTAATTTCCTAAAAGGGTAAATTGTAAAGTGATTTCGCTAAGTCCACGAACTTGTAAAACGTGTATAGAGATTCTTAAATTTTATTTATAGTACTCACTCTATCCGAAAGTTTAAGAACTCTTTCATTTTTTTGGTTTTTCCAAAGAGATAAGCCCATTTTACAACCTCCAAGCTTCGTCTAAAATACACCCTCGTCCATTTTACGGGAAAAAAGAGAGAAAGGAGGGAGAAAGAGAAAGGAGGGAGAAAGAGAGATGAGAGCTGACATGTGGGTCCAAGGGCATTTTTGACATTTCACGTGATTTCTCTCTCCTCACCCGGAAATCATTATTCTAATCGGCGCGGTGTCCATTGGCAAATTACCACGTTTATGGAGTGTTTTTCCCCAAAAGTGACTTTGGGCAGTATCCCACGGCTAAAACTACGAACTCGTAGTGTCCTGTAGCAAAATTTGCCAAAATAAAAATAAGGAGAGTCACCACTTCTTCCTCCATCTCTTATCCCCTTTCTCTCCTTCCTCTTTCTCTCTCTCTATCCTTATTCCTCCCAGGTCAGGTCATCCCCGAGCTAACATCCCCGAACTAAAAAAAAAAACCTGAATTACCCCCTTTGTGGCTAACGGGGCCATTGCTGGCATCTGATTGGAATCACAACTAGCGGAAGTAAGTCACGGAAGGTCGGAGATGCACTATCTCAGGAGCAGGAGGCAGCCGACGGCGAGGTAGCAGAGGCGGTGGCCGGAGTTGAGGGCGACGAGGCTGCGCCGGTGGTGGTGACTACGATCGAAGGGGGGGATTGGCCGGCGAGACTTGATGGGGATGGCTCCGCCGTTGGGGAGGAGCCTCACCGTCGCTGGGAGCGGCGTGTGAGGTCAGAGACGGCGGCGCGCGATAGGACTCGGCGCCTCCGATAGACCGACCAGCGGCGACTCGCCGGAGATCAAGGCGGACAGAATGTACGAGCCCAGATATTTTGTTACGGCCCATGGATAGAAAAATTTTATCAGTTTTGGTTTATTTCTTAATTTCCTAAAAGGGTAAATTGTAAAGTGATTTCGCTAAGTCCACGAACTTGTAAAACGTGTATAGAGATTCTTAAATTTTATTTATAGTACTCCCTCTATCTGAAAGTCTAAGAACTCTTTTATTTTTTGGTTTTTTCAAAGGGATAAGTTCATTTTACATCCTCCAACTCTTTGCTTCGTCTAAAATACACCCTCGAACTTCAAAACCGGGTATTTGACACCCCCTGAACTTTCAATACCATTCATTTTATCCCCTCTAGTGGTTTTCAGCCTGATTTTCACCTATCTAGCGCTGATGTGACGGTCCAGTCAGCAAATATAAATAAAAGGCAAATTTTACTAGAAGACACTACGAGTTCGTGGTTTTAGCCTTGGGACCACTGCCCAAAGTTATTTTTGGGGGAAAACACTCTATAAATATGGTAATTTGCCAATAGACACCGTGCCGATTAAAATAATAATTTCCGGTTAAAGAGAGAGAAATTACGTGAAATGTCGAAAATGCCCTTGGGTCCACATATCAGCTCTCATCTCTCTTCCTCTCTTTCTCCCTCCTCTCTTCTCCCAGTCACGGTGAGGTCGAGCACGTCATCTTCGTGGTTTCCCTGGACTAGCCGGCGCGCCTCCACATCGCCGCCAAGGTCGCCGACGGCATGGCGTTCATGCACAACACCCTGTGCGGCGGCGGCGGCGGCGACGCCGACGACGTGAACGAAAACTTGTCGTTCTCATCCTCCTACGAGGAGGACGAGGCCTCCTCGTTCTGCGGCGGCGCCATCGTCCACGGCAATCTCAAGGCCTCCAACATCCTCTTCACGGGCACCATGGAGCCCTGCATCAGCGAGTACGGCATCACTACGCCGCCGTCGGTGGCGGCTCCATCCTCTGGCGCCGCTGTCCTCCGCACCGACGTGCGCGTGTACGACGTGCTACTGCTGGAGCTGCTCACGGGGAAGGCCACGGCGGCGGACGGCGCCGAGCTGGCGCGGTGGGTGACGGCCGTCATCCGGGAGGAGTGGACGGTCTAGGTGTTCGACCGCGCGATGCTCTCCTCCGTCGGCGCCGGCGACGCCGTCACCAGCGAGCAGCGGATGGTGCATCTTCAGCATGTCACCATGAGATGCATCGACGCCTCCTCGCCACCGCCCACCACGAGAGAGGTCGCTGCAATGGTGAACACCGTCCGCGAGGAAGACGACGGGTCGCTCTCCTCGAAGGCATGAGTGACACTGACGCGGACGGACACCAAGCACTTGAGCGGTGTGTGCAGCAATACAAAATTCCACACAAAATTCCCGGTAACGGTGAGGTCGAGCACGTCGTCCTGGTGGCTCTCAAGGACGCATGCTGGCTGGTCGGTGACTGCGAACGCCCTGTCGGGGACGACGAGGTGCTCCGGGAGCATGTCCTGCCGCTCTTCCCCTTCACCAACTTCTTGGACAGCTGGGACAGCGCCAGCGTCGTCGTCATCGACGATGACGTCCCGTCCGCCGGTGTGGCGCTGGGGGGATGTGGCCGCTGAGCAGGCCGCGTGCACTCAGGGCGTTGCCGCCACCGCCTCGGCGAGCAAACCGTGACCGGGAGAAGAGAGAAAGGAGGGAGAAAGAGAGAAGAGAGATGGAGAGCTGACATGTGTGTCCAAGGGCATTTTTGATATTTCACGCAATTTCTCTCTCCTCCTCAACCGGAAATCATTATTCTAATTAGCGTGGTGTCTATTAGCAAATTACCATGTTTATGGAGTGTTTTCCCCTAAAAATGACTTTAGGCAGTGTCCCACGGCTAAAACCATGAACTCGTAGTATCCTGTAGTAAAAATTTGCCAAAATAAAAATAAGGGGAGTCACCTCTTCTTCCTCCATCTCTCATCCCCTTTCTCTCCTTCCTCTTTCTCTCTCTATCCTTATTCCTCCTAGGTCATCCCCGAGCTAACATCCCCAAACTCGACGAGGAGAGCGGTGGCGGAGGAGCTCGAGCAGGGCAGTCGGGCGACGGCAAAGCTCGCGGACAGCAACCACATTCCAGATCTGGCGGTGGAAGTGGTGCGCCCATGCGGGCGACGACGAGCTCGCGGACGCCAATGCCATAGTTGTCGGCGAGCTCATTTGTGGAGCCACCCCCACCCCCCCAACGCCCAGAGCTCCACGCCCTTCCGTCGCCGAGCCTGCCACAGGCGGCTGCGAGCCCGAATACGGCGCAGGCGGCTCCAAGCGCCGCCGCCCTCGCAGCTCCACACCACAGCCGCAGCCACCGCACTCGCAGCTCTATGCCGACGCCGCAGTCGC